CTTGGCCCTGAAACTGTGACTTGGTCCCCTGCTCTCCTGCAGCCATAAGCACTGGTTCTCCTCTCTGCCTTCAGTTTGTGACTAGGAATTTTGCTTTCCTGCAGCTACAAGCATTAGTGTTCCTTTCTGCCTTAGAACCGCAACCAGGGCCCCTGTTTCCTTGCAACCCAACCACAAGTACACCTTTGCACCCTGGAACTGCAACTCAGAACTGTGTCTGGGCAATAGATTTGCCAATCAGTGCCAGTTGTACCTAGTGCCACCTGTAATAAGATAAACTCTTTCTCATCAGTTGTCCAGTCCCCTTACTGTCTCTGAATAGATAACTTGCAAAGCTGCTCCTGCTACCACTGTAGCCACCTCTAAGGGCCACTGTTGATGTTGCCATCATGTCCTCTCCTGGCTGGTGGCAGACCTCTCCTGCTGACCTCCTAAGTTGTCTTAGGTTGGAAACCTGTCTCATTCTGACTTTTTTGACTCTGCTACCCCAAAATTTGACTTGAGGAGTTATTTTAAAGTTGTTTGGAGGATGATATTCGGAGAGTTTGGTTGGGTTGCTGCCTGTGCTCTACCATCTTGGTTCTCTTCCTCCCTAGAATAGGTTTTATGACCCCTATTCCAGGACCACTTTCCAAAGTCGCTTTCATATTTTACCTTACACAAAGTTTTGTTTTATAAGGAGGGAGAGAAGGATCAAGCATTTATTAAATGCCTACTATATGCCAGTCACAGTGCTAAATGCTTTACAGATATTATCTTATTTGATCCTCACAACAACCCTAGGAGGTAGGTGCTATAATCATCCCCATTTCATAGTTGAGGAAACTGAGGCAGATAGAACCTAAGTGACCTGCCCAATGTCACACAGCTAGTAAGTGTCTGAAGCAGGTTTGAACTGGTCTCCTTGACTCCAGGCCCCAGTGCTCTATCCACTGCACCTGCTAGATATGCAAATAATAATTAGTAGCATTTATGTTTCACTTGAAGAACTTGGCATCTGTTTCATCATTTGATCCTCACAATAACCTTGTAGGGTGGCTACTATCATTATCTTCATTATTACTAGTGAGGAAACTTTAGTTATACTTAGTTATATTCAGTGATTCTCAACATGTCCAAAAGAATAATAATGGTAATGGCTAATATTTATATGGTGCTTACTGTGTGCCAGGCACTGTGCTAAGTGCTTTTGAATCATTATTTCATTTGATCCTTGCCACACCCCTGAGATGCTATTATTATCCCCATTTTACGGATGAGGAAACTGAGTCAAACAGGAATTGATAGACTTGCCCAGAGTCACACAGCTAGTAGGTGTCTGAGGATGGATTTGAACTCAGGTCTTCCTAGTTCCAGGCCCAGTGCTCTATTCACAGTTCTACTTAACAACCCAATGAATGGAAAGAAGATTCATTATTTTTTCTCTCCAGGCACTCCCTGCTTTTGAACTTCCTGTTACTTTCTCCAATGCCTAGAGATTTCTGCCTCCTCATTTCACTGGCTTTCTTCAAGATTCAACTTAAATCTCACTATCTGCTAGAGGCTCTTCTCAGTCCCTAGCATCTAATTCCTTCCCTTTTCATATCTACCTTCATCTGCTTTCTGTATCTTTTATCTCCCTTGTTATTGACATGTCTCCTCTATTACAATGTGCCCTCCTTGAATGGAGGGATGTTTTTACCCCTTTCTTTGTATTTGCAGTGCTTAGCTTAGTGCCTGGCACATAGTAAGCAATGAGTAAATGAATATGGACTGACTGTTCTCTTCACATTACCCTTTTAGCCTATTGAGATAATTGTCCATCTCCTACCTCCCAGTGTATTAGATATCTCTTAGTTTTCTTAGACTTAATTATTCACACTTTAGTGTGTATCAGTTTGTTTAGATTATTTACCTTCAGGAAATCAACTACATTGAGGGAATGGGAGTTTTGATGTGGGTGGAAGAGAAGGAAGGAAGGAATTTAATAGGAACGAACATAAGAAACATGGATTTAAAAAATTATCTGTCCAAGTCCAGGGTAATGTTGATGCATGCGGCACTGTGAGGTAGGGCAGTACAGAAAGAAGTTAGGAGATAAGTAAGGAATATTGAGAAACCAGAGGAAAGTTTGAAATATTTGGGTAACTAACTGGCCAGGCAGGGGAGGTAGGGTACCAAGCATTGAGAAAGTGACTAAGAAAGGAATATGGGAGAGCACCAAAAATATATTTTATCTACTTTAAAATCCTGCACAGGTCTATTCTCATGCCTAAACTTAGTAACATTGGAGGAAACTTTGGATGTTAAGTGAGGAAGGGATTTTTAACATAGAACATTAGAATTGGGAGAGACCTTAGAATGTAGAACATAAAACCATAGGACTAGAAGGGATATTGGAACATAAAATATACAGAGGTCAAAGTTGGAAGGGAGGTTGGAGATCATAATCTTAAATCTTGTCATTATTTGGAGGCCCTGAGATAAGAAATGGCAGGTCTGAGACTGAAAGTCAGGTCAGTTTACTGACCCCTTGTCCACTGTGCTTTCCATCATACTACAGGCAAAAGTTGCTTTCATGGTGAAGCATACCTCACTCCATATTGCCAAGTGAATTTCACTTTGGTGTCTTCAAAGATGGAGTGATGTTGCCCACCCAACACTCCCAAGAAAACAAAACAAAATAAACAAACAAAAAACACCCAAGGTTGTAAGAAGGTATGAGCAAGAAAGAGTTTATTCTGAATGGATATGGACCTGAGCAGATCTCAGAAAAAAACAACGTCCTTTCCTGACTCTGGGGTTAGTCTGGTCCCTGCCTTCTAATTGATGAAAGAAACTAACAAAAAGAACCATCTGCAGCCCTGCCAGGGCCAGTGTAGACATTGACTTCATTACTCTGAATGACTTGCTCAGCTGACAGAGTAAGAATGCAGATTACTGTGAAGTAATGCAAAAAGAGTCTTGAATAAGTAAGCAACACAATTTAAAAATAGGCCCAACTCTAAAGAAAAAAATAATATTGTTCTTATAAAAAAAGTTACAAAACAATACAATACAGTAAAAATATTTTCTTAAAAAAAAACAAGATAAGCTATTGTCATGTCTCAAAGACTTAATTTATGTGATAAAAAGGTGAAAATGGAATTTGGCTTCCAGATGAAAAGCTATACAAAGTAAAAACACAATTGACAGTCAAAGCCATGCACTTGTCCAGATGTATGGGGAGCAAGTTTAAAAGTAGAAAAAATACCAGGACTCCTATCTCATTTCCGGACTGTAGGGATACCCAGGGAAAGAGAGAGAAATGTTTCTCCCAAATGTCAATTGCTTCCCTGAACATACCAAAGAATTCTTGGTTTTCTAACAGGTGAAACCTTCTAAATCAATAAGTTTCTTAAATTACAACCATCAGGCCCATCTCTCTGAAGTGTCTCTGATTCCCTACAGCTGAAAGCAATGTCCCCTTCCTCAAATTTCCCTGGAAACTGATTGGATCAGACCTTTGGACCTACTACTCTATACTTTTTTTCATGTAAATCTGTATGTGTTATTTTTCCCTTTATGTCCTCCCTTCCCCTCCCCTGCCAACCCCCATACTCCCACCATGCTGGACATTTCTTGAGGGCAGGATTTTTGTTGTATCTCTCTTACAGAAGACATATTTTAAATCTGTGTGGGCATCGTGTTTGGCTGGGTCAGCTGTTTCTTCATCTGGAGCTAAGACCAAGGTCCCTCACCAACCTAATACAATCAGAATAAGTTCCTTTTTATTCATCTCACAGGAAGGCATTGGGTGGAGGGAAAACAAATGAACCAGGTTTACATTCATGTTGCATGACTAGGTTTCAGGTAGTTGATCGTCAGTATTAGGTGTTGACTACAGAGAACACCGCAGTCACAGAGACATCAGGTACAGACACGTTGATATAAGAGGCAGCACATGTTCTAGTCACATTTAGCCACCACATGGAGTCCCAGCTTCCAGGTGCTGCAGGTGGCTTCCACATACATCAAAAGAACACAGTTTCCTTTAAAGTGGATTGGCACATGAATCTCAGGGAGCCAGGGAGGGAGGGGGCCCTTGAGAAGAGTCTGAAACCTCACAGTCTGGCCTCAGAGAATGTAAACTACAAAGTTTCAAGTTTGGTTCCCAGATTCTGAAGATGATTCTCTCCCAGGAAATGTTGATTTTGTTGATGCTGATGGGGCTTTGTTTTCCCAAAGCATGGTTTAGACAGGATTGGAATTGCTGGGGATGAATTGAATTGGGAACTTGGAAGGACTGTCTGTAATTGGGTTTTAAAAGAAGGTTAGCGTTGAAGAGATTTTACAGCCTAGAAGAGTAAAGCTGGAAGGGGACTTAGAACATAAGACATTTGAGCTAGAAGGGGTCTTAGAACATAGAATATCAGAGCTTGAAGGGACCTTAGAACCTAGTATGTCAGCACAAGAAGATACCTTAGAACAGAATCTAGAACGTTAAAGCTAGAAGGGACATTAGAACATAGAATCTAAAATGTTAGCGCCTGAGGGGACCTTATGTAATTTAGTTTAATCTAATCTAACCCCCTCACAAACATGGAAATTAAGGCCCAGAGAGGGAGAGTGACTTTGCCCAAGGTCACACAGTTTGTAGAACAGCTGGGACCAGAACCCCATCCCCCTCCTGTTCCTTGGGTCAGTGTTCTTTTTACCTCCAGACACTGACTTTATATAGTGATTCATACTTTTTAGAAGGGTTTCCCCATCTGTCACAAAGTCTGACCTTTGCAACAGCCCTGTGAGGTAGCAGGGCTAGGTTTATTATTCCCATTTGACAGATGAGGTAATGAAGGCCTGGAAAAGTTATCACAGGATTTGGAGTTGGAATGGACACTTAAAATACCATCTAGTCTGACCCCTTCATTTTACAGTGGAGGAAACTGAGGCCAAGAGAGAGGTCGGTTGACTTGCCCAAGGTCAGATGGGAAGCAAAAGGAAAGACCTTGCTCAAGGTCTCACACAGAGAGTCAGTGGTAGACCTAGGACCGGATTGTGTATCTCCTGAGTCCTAGTTCAGTGCTCTTTTTTGATTGGTTTAGGAGGGAGGGGACACAAAGGGATACCATCACATGCACAGAAGGGAACTGAGACCCAGACACGGTTCACGCCAGGCCACAGGAGCTTAGCAGCTGCATCCACGTGTGCAGGCCTGGCTCAGGATGTTGTTGTTTCTCCCGTCCTGGAGCTTCCCATGAACTGGGGGTGCCACATGGTTCTCACCAATGGAGAGCTGCCCACTTGTGTCCTGCTGCCTTCTCAACCTGGAACCAATCACAGTATAGAACAGGACATGGAATTAATTTCCAAGAATATAGGGGTGCTCAGGTTGAAGAGTGGGACTGGGTAGTGCACGAAATGCAATTATAGTCCATCGGACTGAAGAAAACTTTAGAAATCAGTTAGTATAACTTCCTTATTTTACAAATATACAAACTGAGGAACAGGGAAAGGGGTGATTTTTTTCCAGGGTCTCACAGGTATTAAGTGATAGAAATGGGATTCAAACCCAAGTCTTCTGATTCTAAGTGTAAAGGTCCTTCTAAACTTTGTTCTCCATTTCATAACAAAAGACAATGCTTTACAACCTAAGTGAAGTAGTTGGGTAGGACATCAATTAACTATGACCCTGAGCAAGTCTCTTCTCTCTGTAAGCCTCAGATGATCTGATTGATGATATCTAAAACTTCTTCCATCTATAAAATTTAATGTCACCGACCTTATGTAACTCTATACATTTCTCAGTTATTGTGTAAAGTCGTGCCTTTGAGAAACAAATTGCATGCCTGGGAACTATTCTTTTGAATGGCAAATATGACTGCAGTTTCAGAAGGGTGACACCCCTGCTGGAACTAGGAAAGGGGTATTTAATCAATTCCTACTTGTCTTGTCCCAACCTCTTATTCCTTCTCTTTTGCAGGTATCACATAGGTACATGTTTATTTACATGCTCTTGGAGGGCAGAAACTGGGGTCCTATCTTCACTCTGCCAGTTACTGCTTGCAGGACTTTTAAGACAACTCAGTTCCCCTCCTGGGGCCTTGATTGCCTCATTTGCTAAAGAAAAGGGACTATATCACTAAATAGTCTCCCAAATTACCAAAGTATGTTCCGGTTTGCTCCCAAATCCAAAGATCCTCTTAGGTACTAATGCTATATGACCCCAAGTTTGGCAGTGTTAATGTAGGCTCTGAGAGTGAACTATAGCTGATTTGGAGATGCCTCCAGCTGCCAGAAACCACAGAACCAGACTTGGTTGGCTCAAGGATAACCTCAAGCTGAAGCTACAGGGATTTCTAAATATTCTGCTGCCTGGCTTATTGTATTTACAGATGTCCTCTCCCTTAACCCCTGCTCCCTGCCCAAAAGCCCCTAGAAATTATAATATCTCACCCCTTTTCCACTCGCCTCTAAGGTGCTGAGAATTTTCCCTCCTTGCTCTCCTGTACGATCGTCTCTCCTCTACAAGTCTTTTTCTCAGACACCAAATGCTTTCAATTGATGATCAGACTCTGTTTCATTTCATGGGCCTGGGGATCTTTTGTTAACAGCAGTCAGAGGAAAGGGAATTGCTAAAATTGACAAGCAAATACTCACTTACAGACTAGGAAAGGCAGAAAACATCAAAATAAATGACTTGTCTGAGATGATGCATACAGGAACTTCAAAGTATGGATTTAGTACATTCAGGACCCTAAAGATAATTCAATCAATCTTCCCATTTTATATAAACAGAAACTAAGGCCTGGAACAGGAGAAATGATTTGTCTCAAGTTACAGAGAGAACTGCAGAATGGGATTCAAAGAATCCAGCCTTCTGACCTCAAATCCACTGTTCTTTCCATTATAACTTATCCCTTCTTAAGTCAAGGAGGCAATCCCAAATTGTAGCTTTCAGTTTAGTGGACATGGGTTCTTTGCTTATAAGGAATGAGAAAGCTTCTCATTCAAATAAAAAAATTCATGAACCAAAACAAAGCTATAAAGCCATTTTAGTTGACTCTGAACACTTACTTATCAGGCTGACACCATAGTTATCTATAACTTAAATGGAAATGAAAAAGTATTTAGTATCTCCTAGAACCTTCGATTCAATCCCACGAATGCTCCTTGGTAGTTATCTCAGACATAGCAGTGGAATTTAATTTACTAGTCTATATTTTCAAATTATTTGTCAACTTTGTGACCAAAATGCTGAGAGGGAGGGAGGGAGGGGGAGAGGGAAAGAGAGAGAGAGACAGAGACAGAGACAGAGAGAGACAGAGAGACAAAGGCAGAGGGATGTATCTGGCCTTTAGAACTAGGCTACTATAAGATAATGAGATTTATACCTAGGAAGGACAGCTAGGTGGTGCAGAGGATAGAGTGCTGAGCTTGGAGTCAAGAAGACCTGAGTTCAAATCCAGCCTCAGACACTAGCTGTGTCACCATTGGCAAGTCACTTAACTCTGTTTGCCTATAAGATAAGCTGGAGAAGGAAATGGCAAACCATTCCAGTATCTTTGCCAAGAGAAACCTAAAAGGATTCACAAAGAGTCCAACACAACTGAAATGATTCAACAACTTATTATGTAGCTGGCACTGTGCTAGGAGCTGAAAATACAGAATCTTTTTTGCTCAAGAGCTTATAGGAACTTAACTTTTAAATGTTTAATATTAAAAAATTTGGAGGCATTTGAAGTCTGTTCACTTTTCAACCTTCTATTCTGAAGTTCATATTGTGTTTGATCCCAAGCTCATAGTCTAATAGGGGACACAACATGCAAATAACTATGTACAAACAAGATATATACAGGATAAATTGGGAGGAGAAGTAGTCTCAGAAGGAAAGCACTAAGATTAAGGACCGGAAAAGATTACTTGTAGAAGGTGAGACTTTAGCTGAAACTTGAAGGAAGTGAGGGAAGGTAGAAGGAGAAAAGGAGGAGAGAGAATATTCCAGGCATAGGAAAGAGACAGTGGAAGTGCTCAGAGTTGGAAGATGGAGTGTCTTTCATGGAACTGCAAGGGAACCAATACCATTGGATCACAGAGTATGTGAAGGGGAGTAAGATGTAAAAAAAAAAAACAAAAAACAAAACTGGAAAAGTAGGAAGGTGAAAAGTTAAGGACTTTGAAAGCCAAACAGAGGGTTTTATATTTGATCCTGGGGGTAATGGGGAGCCACTGGAATTAACTGAATATGGTCAGATCTGCATTTTAGAAAGATCAATTTGGCATCTAAGAGGAGGATGAACTGGCATGTGGTGAGACTTGAGGCAGGAAGTTCAACCACAAGGCTATTGGGGTAGTCCAGGTGTTAAATGGTGAAGGGTCTGCATTGGGCTGGCTTCCGTGTCAAATGAAAGAAGGGAGTATATTGAAGAGATGTTATAAAGACAGAAACAATAGGTCTCGACCGCTGATTGGATATTAACATATTGGATATGAAAGAAAGTACCCAGGCTATGAGCCAGGATGACTAGGAGGATGGTTGATATACTTGATCATAACAGGAAGGTTACAAAGAGGGGAAAATTTGGAAGGAAAACCCTCAAGACAGCCCAGAGTTTCCTACTTCTTTCCCTTTGCTTCTCTCTGCCTGTCATGCCTTTTCCCTACCCCAACTCTCTGTGACTAATTCTTGCCCACAATTTAAGGCCCAGCCCAAATACTTTCTCTTTCACAAAGAGTTACCATGTTCCTCTGGCTGAAATTGTGTTCCTCCTCTAGATTCTATGATTTTATGACTAAATGGAGAAGTGGGGCAGGGTGCTAAATGTTGGAAAGCAGAAGTGTTGCTTTTTTTTTCACACTCTCCTGGCAATTCTTCTTCAGACAACTCAATAAAGAAGAGATTAAGACTTTCAAACAACCCAGAGCTGTAAAGGAAACTACTGATAGGTAGGCTACAACATGGGGAAAAAGGCTTGGAGCCCAAAGCCCTGCAGCTGAAATCTAAGAGCAAGTATCCTCTCTGAGAAGTGGAATGAACCAGGCCCAGAACAAAACCATTAAGGATTAGTCAGAAAAGGTACCAGATTGTACCGAGTTGTCAGATAATGTTCCAAGACTACATTCAGACTTGTGGTTGTGCACCAAGCCACCACCACCTGGTGGCACTACACTCTATCTGCAAATTTAGTGCTTTTAAAATGAAATGCCTCTCGAAAGTGGTACTTGTAAAACCTAAGTTGTAAAAATGGTGATGATAACATCACAGTGATATTCATTACAAGGGGATGAGAAGAGCAAGTAGATAGTTCAATGTAAATTAAGCAAAGTACATAACCTATTGACTATGGGTAGGATGCATAATATTTGCGTATGAGTAACATTAGGACTTATTAGAACTTTATGCTGAGATAGTCCAATGCATTTTGAGACCTGAGGCTCCAGTGGGAAAATGTGAATTCATTCATTCATTATTTAATAAAACCTAATAACACCCCAAGGGATCATAGGAAAGTAATTTAACTTTCCTGTTAACTAGTTTGCATCGTTTGAAAAATGAGAGAGTTGAGTCAGATAATCTCTAAAGGGCCCTTCTGGTTCTAACATTGCATGTTCTCTTCTAAAGTTTCTTCCAGTTCCAGCATTTCACATCCATAGGATTTTAAATAGTTGAGTCCCATAAAGCATGGAGCAGTCAAAATTTAGAGGAGGTGTAGGGTAGGGGATTTCTCTGATCCTACTTTCCACTGGTCCTGGTATCTAGCATCAAGGTAGAAGATATCACCATTCAGAGTTCAAGAGTGGGAGAGACTGAAAGCCAAGAGCTGCCTGTGGAGAAGAACCTTGAAGAGGGAAGAAGAAAATTTCTTTCTCATTCCATTCCCACATCATCCATGTATCTGTGAAATGCTCTTAGACTTCTAGGAGACACTGGTTTTAAGGAATGTGATCCCTGCCAGCAGAGAAGATAGCTAGTTATTTAGAGGATCAGATGCTGAGAACCAAGTATGAGATACTCTACAAAGAGAGAAAAGGCTCCTAGACCCTAAAGTATCTGGAGTTGTGGATCACCTGATGTGCACCTAAATTCAATAAGTCTAAGCCCACTATTCCCATGGACATTGTGTATATTTGTGTGTGAGTCAGTCACAGACTTATGGGCAAGGCTATTTATACTTTTTCTTTCATCTTTGTAAATGCCTTTGCTAATAGCTAATTATTTGTATTTTGGATGATTATTAATTAGAAGCACGCTGGTGGGGGCTCATGAGCTATACTATAAGGAGTACAAACTCACATTTACTCTTGCAATCCAAATTAGCTCCCTTGT